ATCGGCTTACTCTTTACATAAACACAGGGAAGATAACACAGGTGATAACTGCACGGAGATGAGCACATACCTTACTTCACCTGCACTTTGGCCACTCATCAATTTCTGCAAGGCTTACCGGCGTATCTGAACTGCAAAGCCAGGCCAGGCTGCTGTCTTGTTTGTAAAAGAAATCATTCCTATTCCCTCGTTTTCTCCAACTCCAAGTAATTTCCACCTAAATTTAAGTAATCTGTGCATCAATGTGATCAATCAGACCAAGACTCCATATGACTATGTGAAGTCTGGTAATTGTTTTTATTAATCAACAGACCCCAAGAGTCATCAAATATTCTGTTGAAAGCTTATAAATAAGCCAAGAAAGATCAGGTCCCTTATAAAAATTGGATGGTCTTAACCTACGATCTGGGAAACAAAGGACAAAATAAAAGATTCTTGACTATGCTGAGGAGCAACATGCTATAGATTCCCCTCATGAGCAGCTTCGATGGATTTCAAATATGCAGGTCCTGGACTGACTGAAGCCCAGAGCTGTTGGAGTAAGCCTGGAGAACGCAGACAGAACTTCCCAGAGCAAAACAAAGCACAAGGGATGCAGGGTGGCACATCGACGCACTGTGCGCAGCCCCCAGAGCCAGCAGCACCCACCGCAAGGAGCAGCTCAGGGGGCAGGGGGAGCCCCACACGGCCCCTGGGCTGGCAGCCTTTGGGCAGCAGGAGGCACACCTCGAGGAGCATCCCCTCCTGCGCAGAGCCGGTTTGGCAGTTCCACCTCGTCTGCTACTTCCCCGGCCGCTAATCCCAGCCCTCGAGATGCCCGGTCTTGTCTCGACACCGCCGCTTGTGCAGCTGCACAGTAAATTAGAGCAGGGGGCAGGACGACGTCAGAAAACCCGATCAAAAGCACAAGGCACTCGTTCTAGGTTGGTTTCCCAATCCCATTCAGCTCGCAGACACGAGAAAACAATCGTGCTGGCACAATGTGGAGAACAGCCCATGGGTGGGAACAGGCAGCGGCGCGGGGCTGCTCACACAGCACCGTCCCCGCACTCTTTGAGTTACGGCACGAGAGATGGGGACTCCACATCCTCCCCGGCCCCAAATCCTGACGTGATCATCCTGCAGCAACACACTCCAGAGCTCTGATTTTAAAGCCAAGTAGCTAGAAAGTTTCAAAAGCGAAGCAGAGATCTGCAAGGCTGACAGAGCTTCAGGAACTCTGGCAGAACCCACGTCCAGCTGCCTTACGCCCCAACCCTGGCCGCGTGCAGGCCATCCCCATCGGCGCCACTCGGCAGTTTGTCTGCCCTGGCACCTTCTGGGAGGTGCAAAAAGAAGCTAAAATCCACGTGTTATTTCTATTACCAAACTGCTGGAATTAGTTCTAAACTTCAAAACTAAAAGCAGAGCCTTAAGATTTGTGTAAAGCATCTGTTCCACCTCCTGAGATAATTCACTCACTGTCTTGCCGGAGTTACCTCTCGGTTCTAGTAGAAAAAAACCTCGCCAAGCAGCACGTGGCCTGCATCGGCGGCTCGGCGAGCACAAGTAGGCTACAGTCACTGAGGCAGGGAAGGAAACGGAGTTGTGACTGTGTGACGTTTCCAGGGCAAGGGAGCTATTTAGGACACTGCGAACATTTTTCTTGTTGCTTCCAGTTCCAGAAAGTCTCGCAGCTTCACAGTTGCTCAGATATGTGAAGCAAAAACAGAGGGAGGGAGCAGGGGGGCTAAAAACTTCTGATTTCACTTGCTCCAGTGAAAAAAAACGCACCTTTCAGCACACACGTTACTTTTTAGTTGCTTACAATGAGCGCGTTAGTTAGAGCAGCACATTTCATCGGCTCACATTCAGTACCTGACGCTGGCTGAACTGCTTTCATCACATTTTTTCCCTCTGCCCGTTCGTCATGAATAGCTAACTTTGTTGGGCTTGAATGCTGCGTGTGATGCTCGACCACAGAACAACTGGCCTCAAGGTTTTCGGTTTTACGCTCCAGTGATTTTTCTACTCCATTACTAATTTGTATGCACATTTTGGTTGTTTTATTTCAAGAAGGACAGCGCGTTACGTAAAGATGGGAAGGCTGCGATTTCTGGTCATCTCAGGCATCTCACCAGCAGCTCCCATCCTTCTGCAAGGGCTACCAACAATTCACGTTTTAGAAACACCGATGATATTTAGGAAGCTGGATTTTTAGTCCTCAGCACAAGCCAGTTCTTCAGATGCTACGGGGATGAGCCCCGGCAGCAGGCCTGGGCACCAACACTCCGCGTTTATTTTATTTTTAACAGCCGTAACCGGTCAGGTTGCAGAGCCCTGCAATTTGGGCTGTTTCACTATCATTTTCAGCCAACACAAGCTGGCACGGCCGCTGGAGGAGTGGTCCCACCCTTCCCCACGGCCAGTTCTCACATGTCCCGTCCTTGAGTCAGCCTAAGTCATTCATGAGGGCCCACAGCAAACACGGGCAGGAGACTCATCTAGGTCAAAGCACAGCTTCTCTTCCCCCTCTTTTCTGGGGGCAGGGGACGGTGAGAAGGAAGAAGGGCAGAGCAGAGTTAATTTTGATAGAATTGGTTCCCCGGCCCAGCTCACTGCATGGCTACAGAAACGTTGGCACGAGCAGAGCAGCGAGGGAAAAGGGGACGAGAGTGTCTGAGCTCGGCAAGCGTGGATTCGTGCTGGCTGGAACGGCTCACGGAACTACGCAACAGCATAAACCAGGGAGAGAAAGTACTTGGATACTCAGAGGAAAATATTCTCTTTCCCAAGGTAAATATAACAGGAAAAAAAAATCAGATGAATAATCGGATCAAATCTTAAGTTACTGATGCTCGCTTTGTATCGCCGTTTCACCTCAGTCTATGTGTTTTCTGAAGTTTTGCTGAACATTTTGACAGGAATACGAAAACAAAAATCTGATCTGAAAGGACCACACAAGCGAAAACATTAATGCGTAGTGACAGCATGCCCTGGTGACATAACTCAGCCCCTCCAGGGAACGGGCCAAACGATACCACAAAAATTGCGCTACCACGAGCCACATCTCGAGTCACTGGAGCTGCAAATCTAACTGCAGGTTTTCTCTTCTCTTAAAGAGCAGACAAGCACATTTCAACCCGCACACTGATGTTCTTCTACCTGAGCTCCAACAAACTCAAGTACAAACACCAGAAAGCCTCGGGGCTGCCACAAAGACCCCAACCTCACTGCTTGGCCCACAGTCCGTGCTCTCATCTCCAACACATGCCAGCGAGCAGCCCCGAGCACACCGGGACAAGAACATCGCTCTGTCACCCCGCTCACACAGCTAGGACCCAGCCAAGAAGTTACTGGCCCCAGTTCAGCTGCAGCTCTGGGAGCACGCTGCCGAGGAGCTCCTCGCACGCCCTCATCACAGATGCATAGTTGTGGCTCCCTCGCGGCGTTCAGGCCTCTCCCTTATCTCATCAGGTGCACCTATGCTCTGATCCAAAGGATAAGTTGACGGGGTAAGTTTATCCAGAGTGTAAGTCCACAGGATAAGTTTATCTGTCTCTATCTATAAAACTAAATAAAAAAGCAACCGAGCGTGTTCTGATTAATCAGATAACCGCTAATACCTTTTCCTAAATCCAGCTAAAGTCGTACAAACATACCTTGCAGCAACGAGAACAGATTAATTATTGCTGTAAAAGCGCATTCATTCATTCTAAATTTCAATTTAAATTAAAATGCATTTCAAATTACCATCTCCTTGATCTCTTGTTATGACAAAACATAAAGAGCAATCCTTGCCTCGGCCTCTTTACGGCCACTCACTGCGCTGTACGCCCCTATCCCGCGCCCTCTCGCTCGCACCAGGAGGCTCGTTACGGCCACTCGAAGCCTGAGCCGTCCCTTCTGCAGACCCCTGCTAGCTCTGACCCCACATCAGCGCTGCCAGAGGGAAAATGCGCTCTTAATCGACCCTTCCGAGCAGCTCTTCCTACCTGACCCAGCCACTCAGCCATCCTGTTAACTAGAAACAAATTACGATTTTTGAGCATTCACAGTAGGAGCGGTGAGCTCACAAGTTCTGCTCAATTAAGCGTGAGTCCTCGAAGAAGTTCCGTGCCTTACACGGAAGGCTTTTATTTCAGACGTTTTCCTCCTTATTTAATAACTTACGTTTTTTATTGATTGAATTGGGAATTTGAAAGACCAATTTGATGGGTTTTTAACACCTGTATTTTTGGTTTATTTTACTAGATCCGCCCTGGCTCAAAACGCTTCTCCCTTCCATTGTCCTCACCAGAACCGAAGCCAACTGGAGCACATCACACAGGAGGGCCGCAGCCCCCGGCCTGCCCCATGGCCCCAGTTACCCCAGGAGCCCCCATGCAGCCCCAGGCCCCCATTGACCCCCCCAGCCCCCCCCCCACCCCCTGACAGCTGCAGGCCCCGCAGCGAGGCTCTGGCCGCGGGCAGCCCGCGAGCTCCGGACTTGCACTTTCATTCGTGGCCGCGCTTTTCTTTCTTTCAGCTTTGGCACTAATGACACATGACTCACAGTTAATAAGCGCCTTGCTTCATAAAAAAAAAAAAAACTATATAAAAAAAAAAAAACTTTAATCTTTGCTCCGGCGTTACCCACGGCCCCCTCCCCCCATCCCCCCCCCCCCCCCCTGCTCCGCACCCTCCGGGTGCTGCTCCCCAGCCCCGGGGACCCCCCAAGGCCCCGCCAGGCCGAGCCCCGAGGCTGGGGAGGGGGGGGCCGGGCCGCGGCCTCCCGGGGTGAACGGGGCCGCATCCGCGTTCCCGGCCCCGCGGCCCGGTCGGGAGGCGGCAGCCGCGAGCCCCCCGCCGCCGCCGGAACCCGTCGGGACACATTCCTGCGGGAAACGGCCTGGAATGCGCCCGGGGGAGCCCGGCCCGAGCCCGGGGGGGGGGGGATTGTGAGGAGAGGGGGGGGGATTGAGGGGAGGGTGGGGGGGGGGGGGGTCGGCCCCGCGGCCCGGTCCCGGGGCCCCGCTCACCCTTGGAGTACAGCGACTTGGGGGACTCGAGGTCGAGGTCGGCGCTGAGCAGAGAGATGAAGTCCGAGGGCATCGCAGCTCCGCGGCCCGGCGGGGCGAGGGGCGGCGGCAGCGGGGCCGGGCCGGGCCTGAGGGGAAGGGGGGGGGGGGGGGGAGAGCGGCGGGCGGGCGAGGGAGGGGGGCGGCGGCGGGGACGGGGCCGGGGCCGGGGCCGCGCGTCAGCTCGGGTCGGTCGGGTGCGCTCGGGTCGGGTCCGCTCGGCTGGGCTGGGGCCGGGCTGGGCCGGGGGCTCCGCTCGCCGTGGGGACCGGGCGCCGCCACCCGCCGCTGACAGGAGCCGGCCGCTGCCAACGGAACGCGCCCGCCCGCCCCCTCCGCTGCCGCTCTGCGCATGCGCGGCCCGCGGGGAGGGGGCGCGCGCCAGGAACCCCGGCGCCGCCGGCTCGCGCATGCGCGCCGGGAAGGGGGGGGGGGAGGCGCGGCGGAGGAACGGCCCCCCCCGGTTGGGTCCCGCGCGCATGCGCCGAGCGCTTCGCGGCGCTGTTCTCGCTCTCTGGCCGGCGGCGGCGCAGTGCGCGTGCGCGGGGCCGCGTGGGGAGGGGCGGGGCGTGGAGGGAGAGAGAGGAGGGGGGGGGCCCGCGCGCGGGCGGGGGGCGCGGAAACGTCTAGAAAGGGGGGGGGGAGGAGTGAGGGGCCCCGCGCGGGGCCTGTGAGGGGAGAGGAGGGGAGGGGAGGCTGCGGAGGGCTCACGGCGGCCTCGTCCCGGGAAACGTCGACATCGTCCTCAGAAATTGTGCGCCTTGTCACCAAAAACGTCTGCGTTGTCCCCAAAATAATCTGTATTGTCCCCCAGTCTGCATTGTTCCCAGAAAACGTCTGCCTTGTCCCTAAAAATAGTCTGCTTTGTCCCCAAAAAATGTCCATCTTGTCCCCAAAACATTTCCATCTTGTCCCCAAAAAACATCTACATTGTCCCTAAAAAATCTACGTTGTCCCAAAAAAAGTCCACCTTGTCCCCCAAAAACATCCATCTTGTCCCCAAAAAACATCAACATTGTTTCCAAAACTGCATTGTCCCCAGAGAAGTCTGCCTTGTCCCCAAAAAACATCCATCTCGTCCCCAAGAAATGTCTACATTGTCCCCCAAAAAATCTGCATTGTCCTCAAAAAATGTCCACCTTGTCTCTAAAAATAGTCCACTTTGTCCCCCAAAACATGCATCTTGTCCCCAAAAACGTCTGCCTCATCACCAAAAAACGATACAAATTCAGATACAAAGGGGCCGTGGGCCCAGCTGTGGTGCTTGGGCCCAGAGGGGTTGTGGTGGGGGCAGCCCCCCAGACCCCGGCCCAGCCGCCCCGGGCAGCGCTGCCAGCCCCGAGCCTCGGCCCCAGAAGCTGCCAGGAGCCGGGGGCCGGGGCCGGACACACACAGCGCCACACAAATTTGTGGCTGTGGATTGACAGGGATTAGCTGATGAATTCACCGAGCGCCTGGCCATTCCTTTTACCATGGGAGGTTTAGAGGGAGGGAGGAAAGCTGCAGAGTGGTCAGTGTTTGGGAGAGGAGAAGGGAGAGGCCGAGATCGTCCCCTCTTGGGCCTGGGGCAGCACGAACGTGGCTGCCAGAGAGGAGCGAGAGAGCTGCCCTGGGGATGGCACTGAGACATGAAAACCAAATGCAGCATCCCAGGAAAGATGCCAGGCTGCCATCTAATCACCTCCTGTGGAGGCAGGGAGGGGAAGGGAAGGTTTTTTGGGGAGGTGCTGCAGGGAGGTGGTCGCAGGTCCTGCTGCTGGAGGGGGAAGCAGCGAAGGACAGAGCACTGAAGGGCAGCAGAGCAAGACAGAGCAACCGGGCATGGTGAGGCACAGCGAGAGGCTTCCTGGGCGCTGCTGCCAACCCCAAGCGGAGCCGGGACCTTTGCCCCCAGCCTCCAGCCGTGCCCTAGGCCTGGCTGAGCTTTAAGCACGAGGGCAGCTGCAGCGCGTAACCAAACCTTCCTGCTGCCTGTGCCCCCAGCCCGGGCTGCGCTGCTGGGCTGTGTGGGCAGCCGGGGAAACCCAGCGCGTGTTCCTGTCCAGAAAATTCGGGGATGGCACAGGAGGAATTCAGACCAGTTACTCGTGAGGGTTGGAGGTCACCAGAGACCTTCTTGTACATTTTCCTGTGCTTTTATGATTTTTGAACATTTTGTGCCTCTGGCTGTAGTTGAACATCCAGCCTCAGGTTCGCTATGGGTGCCTGGTGCTTCGTGGGACCTTCCCAAAGTCGGCTTGGCTGATGGACAAAGATCTTTCACGTCCCAAAAGGGCGAGCTGCAAATGGTGACTGTAGTGGAAACTGTGAGCAGGGTCATAACTGTGCAAACTACACAAACAAGGGAAGTTCAAACAACAAGGGAAAGGAAACCTGGCCCTGTTTGGGGCCGGAGGGCCCGCAGCTGGGAGAACACGCTGATCCATTTTTTCCCAGTCAGTGCAGCAGAGATTGACAGAAGGATGGGCTCAGTTTGGGGATGCTGCCCTCAGCACGTGGAGATGCTCAGCCCTGTCCTTCCCTGATCCACACCCGCTCGGAGCGAGCCCTGCCAGCAGCCCATGGCACTGGGACGGGCAGCTCCATCCTGGTGCCAGCATCAGCAGCCAGTGCCCAGTGAGCAGCACACGGTGCTGCCCGCTCCTCCTGCACCCCGGGTCTCGCCATTAAAGTGTATGGAATCAGCTACGTTGATTCCACACAAAAACCCCGTCCAACTAACTCCAGGCACCGAAGCGGGAGACTTCCCGCGAAAAGTTATGTGCTCTGGGGAATTAAAGTATTTTCTCGTTCCGTGATTGAGCCCTTCCCCGGTGCGAGGTCAGATATTGGCAGGTGGGAGTGGGCGGCAGGCTGAGCCACACGCGTGTGCACGCTGCAGGTGTGTGCGGTGCCGCTGGCCCCGCTGCAAGCCCTGAAGCCACGTAGGTGTTGTATTTTCTAGCTGCGCTAGAAGGCTGTCAGAAAATAATTAGGCTCTGTCAACAGCTCCCCTATTCCCAGATTACTGCTTCCTGACTCATTAGCGCTGCTGAGCTTGGCAGGAAACTTGTTTTATAGTAATTTCTGCTAGCAGCGTCCCTGGAGATGGGGCAGTGCTGCGCCCGTGACACCGGCGTCCACTTCAGCTTCGTGATGGAGGCGCGGGGCCGCGGGAGGCCGTCGGGATGCCCGGCCTCTCGTTGTGCCATGAGTGCTGGTGCTGCCCTGAGCAGCGGTTTGCAGCTTCCCACCCCAGTGCTGGCCACGGCTCCTGGGCTGCATGGCTGGGCGCTAGCCTGGTGCAGCACGATTCACCGATTTCCTGACTGCTTGGTGTGCATTTAGGGTGGCGCTTTGGCCATTAGAAGAGTGCTCAGATACATCGGGCTTTTTCCCCACGCTTAGTGCAATATTTCCCCAGGGAAATATTCTTCTCAGAGGCCGCGGTCGGTCATTTCATGTCCTGCACCACTCAAAGCAGGGAATGCTGGCACCCCGGGGCCCCGAGTGCTGCAGGAGGATACCACAACGGGAAGGGCAGCACTCGTGAGCAGAAGCAGCCCGGCACGGCGGCTGTGCAGGGCAGGCAGGGCAGCATTCAAAAATAATGTTGTGATCCCAAAGAGCAGGGTAGTGGAAGTGACGTGCAGCTGAGCAGCAAAAGGTCACAAAGCGAAGAACCGGAGAGGTTTCTGCTATAAATTATTGCCCTGGTAGCTGGGAGCAGCGACAGAGGAAACTGCTCCAGGCAGTCACGAGGAGGCTTGGCCGGTGGTGCAGCATCTTTGTTAAAGGCCTGTGTGGGATGCGACAGGCAACGTAACTCATGTGGCTGGAGAAATTGGTACTTTGGGGTAGGAGGCTGGGGGCCAGCTTTGTCAGGAGCGTTTTATACATTGTCATGGCCATTCATGACTAATTCCTTCAGTGCTTGTTGTGTCACTTGAGCTGTCTCAGCAAAACAAGCTCATTTTGTTGCAGTCAAAAGCTTTAATAATTGACTCTGGCTATTAGGGATGCTTCTCAATTTTCAGCAGCTCCTGGCTCGGGGAGCACACGGTGCAGGACGGCAGCACTGGGGCCAACGCAGTCCCCGGGATGGCTCAGCTGCTCTGAGGACTCATCTGTGCGCAGGACACCCCATGGATTCCCCCAGTGCCGGTGCTGTTAACCCTGCACACTTGGCAGCAGGTCTAAGCATCATTCCGAAACCTCTGTATTTCTGTGGATTTTGGATCCAATTCCTCTCGATCAAAGATGAAGTTTACAGCAGAGTGCTTGCCAAGAAAATAATTCACAACTTTCCTCTGCGTTGTGAATCCATTTTTCCTTTACCAAGCGTGCTCTGAGGATGTCCTGTCCTGTGACCACAGGCTCTGCTTCCTGGACCGCTGAATGTTTTAGTACCAGGACCTCACGAGGGATGCACAGTTGGCTTCATGAATTATCCAGCGCTGGTTACAAAGTGCCCCCTGCTTCCCCCAGCCACAACCCCCCACTTCCAGCCCAATTAATGTCTTTTTTTTTCCCCAGGCATTTCATCCACACCCATATGTTGGTGTCCTTGCTTTGCCGACATGCTGTCCATAAAGTTTCAGAGCCACACGGCAGCTTCATCTCGCAGCTGACTGGTGCTACCACTTCCACGGGTCCCTGATTTATGTCAGCTAAATCCCAGGACCCAAGCAGGCAGTTCCCCCTGGCTTTCCCATCCAGTTACCCCATCAGCAGCTGCTGGTTCGTGCCCCTGCCAAAGTTCTCCTTGCTCCCGGGATGCCCCAACCGGCTGCTGCCTCCTTGAAGCTGCTGCAGCTCCCGTGAAAGCTACAATTAGGCAAATTTGTTAGAGCTCGATTCTGCTGACAGCTGTGGGAGGGGAAGGTATACTCCTTCAGAAGGATGCGTGTCGATGAAAGCCGTATTTCACAGCTGCTGTTTCATCTTTCCACTGAAAACCACCCTCCCATGCAGGTGGTGACGATGGTCTGGGCTGCCAGGAGCCAAGGGTCTGGTGGCACCGGGAGATTTCTGCTGCCCAGGCCGTGGCCCAGAGCACGGGAGGCTGCTCTCCTGCACAGGAACAGACTTCAGGTTCTTATCTGGCACAATTTGCTTCCA